CTATCAATAAAGTGATAATAAGAGGTCCCATTTATTGTGATTTTTTATCTGCCCAAACAGTAAGCTAAGACTTCTGATTCCTTACGTCATCTAATTCATGGGTGGTATGCCAGTTATCTAGGCTGCATTACAAATCACCCCAAAGCTTCATAGCTTACAACAATGAACATCATCATCTAACACCATTTCTGTGAGTCAGGAACCTAGGATGGGCTTGAGGTGGTTCTGGTTTAGAGTCGCTCATGAGGTCACCGTTAAGATGTCAACCAGCCTTGCACCCGCGGGACCTGTCTGGTCCAAACCCAGGTGCAGCGTGAGTGAGACCCACTTCTACCCCATTGGGAACCACAACCACCACTCCACAGCTCCCGCCTCCATTCCCACTCCCCCACCCCCACCCCCACCCCCGCCCACTGAGTGAGTGAGAACTTCTGCCGCATTCTCGGGATCCCCAGATCCAGGCCTAGCCCAGACCCTCGTGAGTGTGTGGGAAAGCTTCCCCTATCCCCTACTCTGCCTTGTGCCCTTCAGACTCAGTTCAGGCCTGGCATAGAGGCCTGGGGTGAAACTCTGCAGCTGCAGTCCCTGAAGAAAGAGTAGGGGACAGAACCACCAAGCTAGTCCAGGAGCAGAACATCTTGCCAGAGAGGCCCAACAGGTTCACTCCCAAGGGCTGTAGCAGGAAGGAGCTAAGTATAGCAGCTAGACCCAAGCCAAGCACAACCAGATAAATTCAAACTTTGTAGATTTGCACCTGAATTTCAATGGGTGCTAAGGTTATAACTGCACCAAAGCTCTACAACAAAGGTCAGAAGATAGTGCTATAAAAAATGACAATGAGAAGGAGCAAAATGCAATCTCAGACCCCAAGCCCACCTATCACAAGTGCAGAGGACACTTGCACAGAACAAATTGGGAACCACATAGCTGAAACCAATGAATCAACAACTTTTGAAATAAAGAAACAACTGCAGAAAGGTATAGAGGAACTCAGATCAGAAATAAAAAAGAAATCTCTGAATAAATAGCATCTACAGTAAAGAATCAAATGCAGAAACATATGGAGGAAACCCAATGCCCACACAGAACAAGTGCAGAGGACAATAGCTCAGCTCAAATGTATAAATTAATAGCATCAAAAGTAAATAAGCAACAGCAGAAAGATATAGAGGAACTCAGAGCGGAATTAATTCCTGAAATAAAAAAGAAATCTCTGAACTCATAGCATCTGGAGTAAAGAATCAAATACACAAACATATGGAGGAAACTCAATCTGAAAAAACTCTGCAGTAAAAGAATTAATAACTGCTTCTAAAGAAGACATTGATAAAAAAAATACAGGAGATTAGAAAAATGACTGACTCCTTGAATGAGTAATACAGGAAAGAAATAGATGGCATGAAGCAGAGTCAAAGAGATATAGAGGAAATTAAAATCTCAATCACAAA